GTAGTACTCAGAGATTCCCCTTGCAAGAACCGGCGCAGCAGAGTGATTGCTATACTGTAATGTTGGAGGCAGAATGTGGGAATGTGTGCATTGACAAGTTTAATCAGGGGCCCGAAGTGTTTACCAAGAACTATAGCCAGACAACAGGGATTTTGTTGTCGGTACTTAATGGCAAAATTCACATCTTGGGCGTGCGTAGTGAGGATCCAAAAGTTATTAGGAAGTTTACCTCTGATGGCGCTGGGCGTGGCGGCAAAGACAAACACATGGTCAACTGAAAGCACCTTTGGATGAGAAGAGATGCACTTGAGCGCTTCACGAAAAGCCTCTTCTTTAGTGTCATCGGTCCAAAGCTCATATTCAAGAGACAATGATTGACCAAATGCCGTCTGCCATTCATCATCATCCAGGCTGACTTCTGTGGGAGTATCCATCGGATCTTGACTTTTGTTGCAGAGACCACTCACTTGATTTCTAGGCACAGCAGCGCACGAAGCAATATCTGAGTCCAGTTCTTCTGAACTGCAGCACACATGGATTCGTCAATAGGCGTGGCAATTTTCTGCCTAGACAGATCATGGGGTGGGGTCATACCTGAACTATATGAAACAATGGGATCTTCAACATTTATTCCCGTAGTTTCCTTGGCTTTGGGTAGGCCCTGATCATGGCTGGCAAGGGTGTGAAAAGCAGTCCCATAATATGAAGTCTTTTGAGTGATCTTAGGTCCTGGCACGGAATCAATCAGCTCACTGGAACAGGTGTGGCAATACCAGAGGAAGCAGGTAGGGTACTGGGACCTTCTTCACTGGATCGGCATGAGATGTCACAGGCGAGAAAAACTTCTTGATTTGCTCCTTGAAAAGGCGCACGGTAGTTGAAGGCTTTCGGAGCTGATGAGTCTTATCAAATGCCTCACTCTTCTTCTTTTTCCCATTTGGGACTTTATTCACCGAAGATGAATGCTTCATCCGTGCCTTGCCAAGAGCATGGGTGGCACAGGCTGCTGAATCACTCTTGTCGGATCTGTGCTCAGCCTTGGGCTTCTTGAGGCAATGCTTCTGCGCAGGTCTGCCTCTGAAGGCCTCATTTTCGTCAGGATCTGCTCCTTGTGTATTCATATCTCAGGCAAAGATGTCCCCAAGGGAAACAAAAGGTTGTTCCTGAGAAAGCAAGGAAACACAAGCCTGACCTTACCAAGGTGGGCGGGGCCCACGCTAGGCAAGGAGTAGGCCGGGTGAGGGGCAACCCAGGCCAAAAGAAAAACAGGAAATTTGCAAGGGGACCCAAAGAACCCAACCCTACCTAGGTGGGCCCACACTGGGCAGTGAGGGAATCAAAGCAACACGCAGTTTCGATGAAAAGAAGTGGAACCCCCCTTCAAGGGATGCACACAATGTCTCCCACTTGGAATGGAATCCGTACACAATAAGTTCAATCCAACCAAGGGGAGCGGGGCTCCCACTAGGAAGGATTGAGTGTTAGTTGGTTGTCACACAGGCTGGGCACACGTCTGTTGAAGCGCATGCCGGTTCCAAGCAGAATCATGTAAAACCATGTCATGCGAAAATCAAGCAAAATCATGTCAAATTCCATGCAAAACCATGTCATGCGAAAATCAAGCAAAATCATGTCAAAATCCATGCAAAACCATGTCATGCGAAAATCAAGCAAAATATCGTCAAAACCCATGCAAAACCATGGAAAATCGCGCAAAACGAGCTAGGCCACCTGAGCGCGCGCATACAACGGGGCATTTCCGGAAAAACGTAGAAATTAGCAAATAGTCCGGAAATGGGCTTTGCACGCAAAAGGCTACGCTGAGGCGCAAAAACCGGGCTGGAGGCGGAAAGAACCATCTCGGGCCTGGGGAAATACTTTCCCAAGGAGAGGCGCTCACTGGGCTGGAGGTGGAGGCAGGTGGAAAGATCCGTCTTGGAGATGATCCGTCTCGGACCATGGAATTTCTTATTCTCAGGAGAGGCGCTCACTGGTCTGGTCTGGAGGCGGAAAGATCTGTCTCGGGCCTGGATAGAATTCTTATTCTCAGGAGAGGCGCTCACTGGAAAGATCCGTCTCGGACCATGGAATTTCTTATTCTCAGGAGAGGCGCTCACTGGGCTGGAGGTGGAAAGATCCGTCTGGAGGTGGAAAGATCCGTCTTGGAGATGATCCGTCTCGGACCATGGAATTTCTTATTCGGCGCTCACTGGGCCCGTCTTGGAGATGATCCGTCTTGGACCTGGATATATTTTTTTATTCTCAGGATTTCTTATTCTCAGGAGAGGCGCTCGCTGGGCTAAAAGTGGAAAGATCCGTCTCGGAGATGATCCGTCTCGGACCATGGAATTTCTTATTCTCAGGAGAGGCGCACTGGGCTGGAGGTGGAAAAGATCCGTCTTGGAGATGATCCGTCTCGGACCTGGATATATTTTTTTTTCTCAGGAGAGGCGCTCACTGCTCTGGAGGCGGAAAGCCCGAACGCCGGTCAGGGGCATCTTGGGCACACGTTCGGTCGGAAGCCTGCGATGAAGCTGTGGCGCAGGTAGCCCGCGCGGTCGATGTCGATGTTGGGCACCGTGTTCGTAGGTTCCCGCAAGGACCGGGTACAAGTCGGAATTCCGACCTGGTGGAGCCGGCCTCGCTTTCAGACCGAAGCCGCGGAGCCGGCCTGCTTTTCCAAGTACGAAAGCTTGGCTCAAGCGCTAGCAGCTCCCTTGTCTCAGTGGTTAGAGCGCTGTCTCTGCACCCCCCGATTCCCACCTGCGACCGGGATTAATGAACCAACCTTGCCCAGTAATGAATAACCCGTTCCATTATTGACTCAAACTTGCGAAGAACGAAGTCCTCTGGAACTCGGGAACTTGGCCGCTTTTGCGCACTTTTCGGCCAAAAAAGAGCGTGACGAAGCGGCGACAAGCGGTGACAAGCTCGGCGGGATGGAATTTGCCTGTTTTCCGGGCTGAAAGCGGAACCCAGAGCAAAGTGAGCGTCTGGAGCGTCAAAGCCTCATCTACGAAAGATTCATGTTCGGCTAATGAAAGCCCTCTCCGCTGCAGGGATGATCTTCTCCATTATACTGCAAAAGATTCATGTTCGGCAAATAAAAGCCCTCCTTCGCTGCAGGGATGATCTACTCCATCACAGCATCATTATCATCTGCAAAAGATTCATGTTCGGCTAATAAGAGCCCTCCTCCTCTGCAGGGATGATACGTCACAGCATAATCTGCAAAAAAAAATCATGTTCGGCTAATAAAAGCCCTCCTCCGCTGCCGGGATGATCTTCTCCCTCACCCTGCAAAAAAATTCGGCTAATAAAAGCACTCCTCCGCTGCAGGGATGATCTTCTCCCTCACCCTACAAAAATTCGGCTAATAAAAGCACCCCTCAGCTGCAGGGATGATCTTCTCCATCACAGCATCATCTGCAAAAGATCCATGTTCGGCTCGGCTAATAAAGGCGCTCCTCGGCCGCTGCAGGGATGATCTTCTCCATCACAGCATCATCTGCAAAAGATCCATGTTCGGCTCGGCTAACAAAAGCGCTCCTCCTCTGCAGGCCCGCTCGACTTCCCCCCTTTCCAAAACATGCCTGCGTACAATGGCAGTGCCCTTGGGCATTGTTCCAAAAATGTTAGTCCAACGGTCGGGTGTTTTGCTTGGAGATCCAGAGCGTCTCAGCATTGCACGCAAAACTGGCTGCTTGACACTGACCGTGATGCACAAGCGCGAGGACAAAATGTACCCAGAGGCAAACGTTTGTAGGCGCAATCGTCATCCAGGACTTGTGCGGGTGTGAACCATCACATAGCACGACCAGAGGATCGAACCAGCATCGTTCGTCTAAAACGTTGCCCCGCCCCCCTCTGTCGATGGCAACAACTGTGGAAATGCGCTTGGGAGTTGTGAAAGCCTTGTTGGCGCCTGACAGAGTGTCAAGTCCATCAGGCTGGGCTGTGGAACTTAAGGGAGACTGGAACACTGAACTCTTGAGAGGCCCACTTCTTGGGAGGCCTGTCTCAGGCCTTAAAGAACGTTCCACCGGGTGACACGAAATGAATCCAAATTCTGCGAGACAAAAAATGCTTATTCAGCTACACATCGCCAGTCCCACTTGCGCACCGCGTCGAACGCAACCATAAACATGGAAGGGTTGGAAGGAGACGACAGCGGATGAGTGCGGAGCACATGATTGTACCATATATAAATCACAGCTCAAATGCATAGCGCTCTTTTCAGCTCGGGGGATATTCACTGCACGTGAGTGCGACCCACCTCATGCCTCCCAAGGAGGCGGGATCCTGGCCTTCCAGTCTCACGCACAGATCCCCCCCGTGGGAGTAGTGCGTGAAAGGGTTGGGTGGGTGGGACAAAAACCCAGGATCAAAAAGGGGGATTCCCCCCCCCTCCTCTCCCAGCCAGAGCTGCGAGATGTCAACTCATGCAGGAGACCAATCCGTGCAAGCCCAGTTGCCGCATGTGGTTGACAAACCTTGTTAAAAAGAAAAATCTCCTGTTTGAAACATTGAAACACGGCAACGCGTAGAAGCTCGTGTCACAGCAACACTCAAACAGGAAACCAACCGATAACAAATTCACGGCACTCTAAAAAGTCATCTCCTCTTTTCCTTCCCGATCCATTCCTCCAATGGCACCAGCAAGGAACACCCAGGGAGCAAGATAGAACAGGTGGCTCCCCACCAGTGGCGTGTAAGCTGAATAAAGCGCGAACACTAAAGTGAAAAGCTAACTTATTCAGCTATACATCGCCAGTCCTACTTGCGCACCGCGTCGAACGCAACCATAAACATGGAAGGGTTGGAAGGAGACGACAGCGGATGAGTGCGGAGCACATGATTGTACCATATATAAATCACAGCTCAAATGCATAGCGCTCTTTTCAGCTCGGGGGATATTCACTGCACGTGAGTGCGACCCACCTCACGCCTCCCAAGGAGGCGGGATCCTGGCCTTCCAGTCTCACGCACAAATCCCCCATTCAAGCTGCGTGATCCGAATAGTCTGGAGTCACCTTCCTCCAGCCATCATATCCTTTGAATTCCAGCCGTGAAGCGGCATCCGAAGGGTTGGAAGCGCTGGGCACTCGGGAGTACCAGTTCCACATTTGGAACTGCGTGTCAAGCATGGCGTTGCATCTCAGGAGGCTCAGAGTGTGAAGGCTGGGTGAAAACGAGCGCACCAAACTCGCTTTGACACCTTCATTGTCTATAAAGACGAGGACCTTCCTACCTGTCAAAACTTGAGACCACGTCCTTTTCGCAACCACCACCCGAAGCAACTCAGCCTGGGCGATCAGTTGCTTGGAGCCCGAGGCCGACCATTGTTCTGCGAGATGCTGAGGGACATGGTCACCAAAATATTCGCGAATCCCATGTTGTGGGTCGAATAGCATCGCTCCATGCGTCACAACCTTGCCCTCGTCCTCGCACGCTCCATCTGTAAAAAGCAAAATAGGACGCTCGCACATCATTGGCTTCAAGACTCGTGGGGCAGCCGCCTGCAGGAGTGACACGGCCTCCCCTATAAAGGGAATCAGGTCCTCAATTGAATGGTTTCTTTCGCTGCCCATCCTGCTCAAAAGTTGCACTGCTAAGTGGGTCATCCTCCCAAAGGTGTGCCCAGCGGCGTACAGCAGCTTACCCCTCAGCGAAGGCAGCTTCCCAAGCGGAGCAGACCCCGAAGCAATGTCCCGAAAAAGAGCGACGATGTCTGGTACTCTTTCAGGCTTGTTGAAGACGCAGACCTCTCCCTCTGGCGCATTCTTCAATGAAACCATAGCTCCCAATATGGGAAACTCCTCCTGAAAGGGCATCCTCTTGTGTTCATCCATCGCAATTTCCCAGCCCAGCAATTTCAAAACCGACTCAGCCAGAAACTGATTGTTGCTCCCAAGATGCCTCAGCTCAAGCATTCCGTAGTCATCGAAGAAGCTGGTCGATGGGAGGAAAAACAATTTGATCAGGATGTCGCGGATGGCACGGGCCGCCCTATTGAATGAGAGCACAGCACTAGTTGCCCCAAATGGAAGCGCAACTGCCTCGAAAAAGGAAACAGAACCATCATCTGGGTTCAGCACCGCCACCACCGAGGCCCATGCATGCTCAGGTTTCCTGCACAGCTGTTTGTATGCGCTCTTCAAATCCATGCACCTGCCCACCAACCCCGTTGGTTCAACCCCTTCTCCAGCTCGACCGCAAATCTCGGCCGCCCAGAATCCTAAGGCAACAAATTGGTCCAGGGCCTCGAGGTCCAATTTCTCGGGCACCGAAGTGGAGCTGTTGACCAGAAACTCGCTGCAATCATCGATACACCGAATCTTCCCAGACTGGCGAATTCCGAACCTTTTCGAAGGCACCCAAGTTCCACCATGCCTGAGGTCGAGTTGCTCCTCAGTGTAGGGCCCAGTGAGCCATCCCTTCGCCAGCTGCTCCTGCGTCTCTTGCCAAACCTTATGGCAGATCTCCAGGTCGTCCAATGAGCGAGCGCAAGACGCAATTGTCCAGAGGGCGGCAGATTACCAATCAAAGGGAACCCGCCAACCATGCAGTCGAAGAGGTCTTCGTCGCAATTCCCGCAGTCGCTCAACATCTGCTTAAAGAGCAACAACCGCTTGGTGCGCATGACCTTCTCTACCTCAGGGTGCATAGTGCGACGCAACTCTCTTTCTTTGGGAGCCAGCTTCTTGGATAGCTCCATGTAGTGCCTGAGCCTGTCCAGTCTCACACTTGGCAACCAGCTCCGGCTCCTCGCTCATGACCCACTGTATTGCCACACGATTTTCCCGACTCACAGCATCTGGGCAGTCAAAGGGGTGCTCCAACTCTAAGGCCCGCTCCAAAAACTCGTCAGGTGTGTGGAAGACACCGTACATGATCCTTTTCGTCTTCTTCTTCACTTCGCTCACACCGATCTCGTCGCTCGTGCACCAATCACCCCACATTCGAACTTGCACGGGCGAGAGCAAAATAGCACCATCAGGCAAGCCGGACAAAGTAGCATGAACAGGCATGCAAATTGTCATGGGTGGTTGAAAATCTGCATCCACACGTCGAGCAAACACGTGCCGAAACTCTGGGATTAAGGCAGGTGATTTCCAACCCCGCGGCTGCTTCAGGTTAGCCAGGTACGTTTGTGAAGGCTCCCACTCCGGCTGCGCAGAAAACACAAAACCACGCGACTTCAACTCGCACGCAATGAGTGAAGCAGTGGCTTGGCATAGCTGCAACGGATATTCAGCCTCCTGCGATGTCATAAACTGTACGCGCCCACGAGCGTCACGTATTTTCCAAGGCAGGTGTGGGTGCTTGCGATCACAACGAATGCACAGCGCGCTAAGATCGAAATTTGCAAGGAAAGCCGTCTTCTTGGGCCGCTTGGATCCATGCATACAGCAGTCGAAACAGTAAAAGGCAAACCCCAAAGGGAGAAGCGCACGAAACTCATCGAGCAGCCACATGAGGGAGTTCTCTGGATTCTCAATGATGACCAAGGCTCCTGCTTGATGCGCTAGCGCGGCGGCCTGGCAAGTGAAGCAATACAGGCGGTTTGCTGACAAAACTCTGGCAACGCCCAGTCCGGTATTCCACGGAAAACCATACGGATATTCAGGAGACCGCAGAGGCTTTGGCCCTGGTCTACTGCCCTGAATCTTAATGCACCGAGCCATGCTGGACGTCCCACATGGTGGCGCTGCAAAAAGGCATGCAACAAGTCCCTGAGAAAGTTGCTGAAAAACTGTAGTTTGATGTTCGGGATCGAGCAGGTCCAGCTTCGCTGCGGCCGCCTTCACCCTTTTGCGATCCACGTAATGGTCAATACCCAATGCATGCATTCCCCACGCCTTTGCCTGTGCGGACATCCCCACAGACCCGCAGAAAATCTCAAGGAAGTGCGGGGCAACTGAGGTGTCATTAACGATAGGTCTGCACGCAGTGAGCAAAGCAGGTGCCCCCTTCGAGGCACTCCGCGAAGCGTTGTATGCAACCGAGCCCTTGCTCGGTCGAAATGGTGACCGTGACCGGTCAGAATTGCTGGCACGACCCTTGTCATTACCAGCCGAAAAGGGTTTAGAGGTCTGCATGCCTGGCTCCGGAAGTCAGTGCTGTGCTGCAGGAAGGTGTGGGTCTTGCTGAAACACCCCACCGCACAACAGACATGCACTCGCGAGCAATTGGGATCGACACACTGCCCAAGGTTGTAGGAAAAACAGATGGCATTCCCATCATCATCAACCGGGGAACCACCACGCAGTTTCTGAGGCATCGGAGCTTTCTGGGCTTTCCCAGCTCCTTTTGGCTTCGAAGCTTTCTTCTCAGCACGCCGCCCTTTGGCCGGCTCTGGAGGCGGAGGAGGAGGCCCTTCTCCTGCTCGACGCCTTTTCTCAGCTGGCCTTCCAGCTGAGGGATCTGCATTCGCCCTTGAAACAGGTCGTGGCATCAAAAGCCACTGCACTGCTGGCATGTTCAAAACGGGCTCCACATGACAGTCAAGTGGCAGCTCGCCCGTCACCGTCGGAACCAGACCCGTCCTAGTTCGCTCTGCAAGCCTAGTGTGGATCTCTCTGTCAGTTTGGCAGAGCTGGCCCATGGTGACCTTGAGAAAACCCGCTGGTGGAGGCCTCCAAAACTCATCAAACAAGCGAGCGAGAATCTTTTCATGGGCTCCAAAGCTCATGGCTGCAGCTGCATGGTAAGCAACTCCTCTACGTCGGAGAGCATTTTGCAGATCCAGATCTGTTGCAACCTTGGTCTCAATGTCCAGGTCTGCAGAACTTTCGCGCACCACGCCGTTTCTGTCAGCTTTCCAAGCCTTCAGGGGGGCGTTCTCTGCAAGACCTTGCACTTCCTGATTCCGAGTGGTAAGCCGAGACCACTCAAAATAACGCCATCTGCCTTCTTCAACACATTGAGCAACTGCATTGACCAAAGCGTGTGATGGTTCCAACTGGTTCTCCACTATGAGGGGCGCTATCACAGTCCGTACCTCGTCCAGTCTGTGAGCAATTTCCAGCGCTGGGAGTTTCTTAGGTGCGTCACCCTCAGAGGACTCAACACGGCGTTTCAAGTCAGCGGCGTTCATAGTGTAGCTCTCAAAGGCAAGCCGTCGGAGCTTAGGAGCATCAACATGTGCCGCATCACCCAAAACGGGCGTAATGACGTTGTCAATGAATGACTGCTCAGAAGCTTCGGATGCACCAGGCAGCGTCGGCACACAGAAAGCAAAGGTTGCGTAAGTGTCCCACCCCTTGTCCACCAGGTCTCGTACAACTTGCTGCGAGAGCCCTATAGCAGCGCATCTCGCCGCGAAAACTGGTCTGCTGTCCACAACCGACATGGCGGGCGAAAGCGATCGAAGCACGACTATTCAGGCAGTCATGTGACACATTGAAACATTCAAGTGCCATGTGCAAGATGAAAAACAGATGCATTTCTGAAATGCCTGGTTCCGACACTGCACTTCTGCAGTGGCTGGGGCCTTCCCCAGCACTCGAGCCTTTGCTCAGTCGGCTATTTCAATCAGCGACATCCCTATCCGTCGCAAATCAAGGTGGCTTACCCCAAGGAGAAAGGGAAACGGAGGAAAGCCGCGTGTTTTACCTCTTTGGCTTGAAACACTAAGATTTCGTCAGGGTGCAACTCCAATTTTTCATAGTTCGTTGTGGGCAGCAACCCACATCTGGTCACCTCAATTTCCCCGTCCATGGGGTCTGCCTCTTCTTGCCCCGTGGCAAGATGAGTGACCTGTGTCTTTCTGTTTCTGAAGCAAGTACTGCCGAATTCGGGGCAATTGGTTTCCTGCTCTGGCCCAAGCCGGCACTGATGGTTCTCACACTTTCGGAGACCTCAGCAGTTTCGGGCTCAAACAGTTCAGACCCCTCCGAGTCCGTGCCCCCTCCGCTGGTGCTTCCACCATCAGCCATCCCAGTTTCTGCAGCGGCTGTATCCAGGCGGCTTCCTCCTTCATCCGAAAAACCTGCAGCCATAAAGGAAAATTCTTCCATGGAAGAGGCTTCCAAAGCAGCCTTGATCGAAGTGAAGCCCATCCACCTGTTCGCAAGTGCTGCATCCGGTGCGAAGATTCCCTTCCTGATGCAATAGAGAAGTCCACTTAGCATAACAACAACTGGTGTGTGCTCCTCTCTGCCGTATTCGCTCATGGTCCGGTCACCCACCTTGATGTGGTAGCCAGCCAAGCGCCTGACGGACTTCTCAACTCCGGCCTTGCACATCCAGGACAAGGAGTGGGATCCTATATTTTCAGCGCCCTTGGGCATCAGAACCTCTCTCAACCAAACCACTCCTTCCTCAGAGGAAAGAGGGAGGGTATCCCATCCACCTCCCACTATAGGCGCCGGCATAAAGGGAATTTCACGGCCAGCAGACAGACACATAGCCGCCCTGTTCTTTAACCATTTCTCAGCCCAATTTAGTCCACCAACTCCAGGCAAAGCACAAACCGCAGGGAGCAATCGCTTCACAGCCGCCTTCTGCCTGTTGGCCGTCTTGTGATAGTACAGCTCCGCCTCAAGTGTTCCTTTACCAGAGGAATCAATGGCCAGGACAGGCTCGCTGACTACATGCTGCCCGTCCGACCACCGCAGTCTTGCATGAACCAAAAAGCAAATGAATCCAGCAAAAATTGAATCGGCCGCGGGTTCAGTGGAAGCTGCCGCACGTTCAAGCGTGACCAACTGCTGCACTGTGAAAGGGTCCTTCTTTCTCACTGACCTGCAACCTTCAACAGGAAGTGCCCCACCGTGCAAACGCCTGCTGCCCAACGTCTCCTTCATGTCCACACCTAGGAGTCCTCCGCTGAAAGCCAAGGCCTGCAAAAATCTTTGCGCCTTCGTAGCAGGCGCTCTTTCATCTCGCAGATGGCAGATATACTCATACGCAATCCCCTCGTCAGTTGGAAACAGGACAAAGGCCTCTCCCAATTCTGCAATCCCCCAACGGATGAAGGCTAATACAGAACCTGCCCTAGAGAGCAAGGTGGCAGTCGCCTTAGATCTGAAAACGTCAGCCAAGACTGCAAGCATCTCACTGTTAGTCATGCCATGTATCTGCATCCCAACCGTAGTTGAAAAAGGGTCCCGCTGAACAATCTGCAACCACATTTCCAGCGACTTGCGCCTTTTCCTATCCTTCTCCTTGGCCCAGGAGTTGGAGGCCAACCTGTGTTTCCACTGCTTCCTGACCGGGACCTTGAGCGGCACTTGGACAGAGCGTGGTGCTTCAGGACTCACAGTCGAGGATGCATCAGGTAGTGGCACGAAAACAGGTTGTGGAATAAGGCCAGGGGCATTTCCCAGAATCCTTTGTAGGGGACCCGATTCCCAAGAAAGAAGCAAAGCTGCATGTGTTGCTGGAACTGAGCACGACGCCTGCCTGAATAGTATATTCGTGAGGTTCTCCTTCTTCGTCGGCAAAGAGTCGTCCATCCAAACTCTGGCGCATCCAAACTCTAGCACAAATCCCCCCTTGAAAGAGCCAGGGTTGTCAACGCTCCACGGGAAAACTGCGAGACAGTCGGTCCAAGAAGCCAAAACCTGTGTTTCTTGGCCACCAAATATAGACGCCTCCAGTTGTAAATTGCTGTAAAACGCCCACGTCGAGAACAGCAAAGGCCCATGGGACAAAAACCCAGGATCAAAAAGGGGGATTCCCCCCCCCTCCTCTCCCAGCCAGAGCTGCGAGATGTCAACTCATGCAGGAGACCAATCCGTGCAAGCCCAGTTGCCGCATGTGGTTGACAAACCTTGTTAAAAAGAAAAATCTCCTGTTTGAAACATTGAAACACGGCAACGCGTAGAAGCTCGTGTCACAGCAACACTCAAACAGGAAACCAACCGATAACAAATTCACGGCACTCTAAAAAGTCATCTCCTCTTTTCCTTCCCGATCCATTCCTCCAATGGCACCAGCAAGGAACACCCAGGGAGCAAGATAGAACAGGTGGCTCCCCACCAGTGGCGTGTAAGCTGAATAAAGCGCGAACACTAAAGTGAAAAGCTAACTTTGATGCAACCGCGAAATCAGCAGCGACATGCTCATTGCTGAGATCCATGCTCACAATGTGCTGCTTTGCTGCTGCGGAAACGGTGGGGTCTCTCGCCTTGCGTGCAGTGCCACTTTGGTGACCGCCTGCGAGAGCCCAGCACTGCCAGCGAGGACTCCTAGGCAGATCGATTCTCTGGTGAAAACCCTGTTGCACTTCTGCAGAAGGGTGTCCTCTTCGGACTTCACAAAACGGAGCTTAGACACCTTTCGGTGTGTCTGCCTTGGGCTCCAAACCGAACCTTGCATGCTTCGCTTCTTGGCGAGGCAGGCCAGATGGGCCGATTCGTCAGCAAGCAACTTCTGCTTGCGGGCGCCAAGCTTCTGGCTGAAGAACCCGCTTGCGTGTAAAAGTTGTGAAACCACATCATTCTGCCACCGGAGCGCCACAATTGACAGTCAGTCGTTTAGGCCGTTGACCAAACTGTGATCCTCCTTGTGGCACTTCGCACACACATGCACCCCCGTGGCGCATTGCTTAGGATTTCCCGAAGTGGCAGAGCTGTAACCTCGGGCGAGATTGTATTCATAGCAAATCCTCTGCTTCGTGGGAGTCTGCAGTTGGCGAGGCCCCAACTCCTCGGGCATTCTCGGGCCTTGAGTCTTGGAACGAGGCGGTGCCTGATCCTTAGCCGAATTGTGCATGAGGTCTGCATTGACCCGCTTTGCTGCCTCAAACTGCAAACGGCGCAGTTTAACTGCGACACCAAGTTCGGCTCCATCCCTCGAAAACCTGTGCAGAGAGTCGCGGAAAATCATCCTGATTCATAGGCCGCTGCGAAGACCCGGAAACAAACGCAAGCTGCGAAAAAGTCTCCATGTTCTGCGAATCCAATACTCGGCGCAGGTCCCCCATCTCCTGACATTTTTGCTCGAAGGAGGACCGTGAATCCGCTAGCGCCATTCTCAACACGCTAACGAGCTAGCCCTCCCCTTGCAAGCCAAATGCTGGAATTCTCAAGGGGTTGCAAATCTCAACATGCTCGCATGCTAGAAATTCAGAGAAGAAACTTACGGGCATCCGGGCGCATCATCCGGATTTCTCACGCAACACACCAGCAGGCTCTGAGGTTCTGTCACAGAAATGCGAAGCAAAACCGACATTGGACGCCTGGCACTGACCGCTCGTCAAGGTGCGGCTCTGCCAACGCGGCCGCAATCTTCCGCAAATGAAGCGGCGCTTTTGAAACATTGTTTGCACATTGGAGTGGCCCAATCTCGGCTGCGGCTCCCAGCTGAAGTCCTCGTTCAACGCTCATCCGCACTGCAGGAATTTTTGAAACCCTCAGACAAGTGAACCGTGCACCATCTTGTGTTGCACCATGACAATGCTCTCCACTGCTTCCGGGGGTTTCCATACCTTGGAAGATTCCAACTCCAGGACGCTTTCCAAACAATAGGAGCTGGTGACCCACCCCACTGTATGGGCTAGCAGCATACCCCAACTAGTGTTGAGAGACCTCAGGAGTCTCCCTCGCCTGGCTCATCACGTCCACCAAACCTGTGAGGCCGAACGAATAAACAGCACTGACTGCACCGGTGACGCTGCGTCCTCAACCACAGAAAGAGAGCTCCGGGGTTGCTGCAAACTCTTACCATTGCATGTGAGGAGACATTCCACCATCTTGGATGCCCTCTTGGGCCAGAGCCTCCCACTGCTTTGATTGTCAGGAGCAAGACACTCCCTCTCGAATTTCACGCATTTCCAAAGCACGTCTGCACTCGACCAGTCCTCCGAGGAAAGCAATAGTATCCTCCTCATAGTCCATGTCAGCAATAATTCTTCTAAGCATGCTGTCCATCCCTAGCCCGAATAAATACCACAAGCAGTACTGCTCCCGCAAAAACTGCGTCCCTCAAACTTGACCTGTCATGAGTCAAACCGTGAAAAGTTATCAGCTCACGAACCACAGAAAGCTTGACTGTTTAAGGACCTCTGGCTTCGTTGCGCACAGCTGTCCCCAAAAAACCGCTTGCTTCGGAGAATAGGTGTGATCTCATCCACATTGAGCACAAATTTGCAAAAGGCAAAACTTCCATGTGCGCTTTGTCAACAAATACCTTCTCAAGCACGTCCACCTTGAATTGCAAATGAACGCGTTCATCAATCCACACTCAAATGTGATGTCAGTCCCCTTCCCATGAATAGAAAGCTTGAGCCATTTCTTTAAAACACATTGTCGTACGCTTCGCGATCATCTGCCCAAAAACTGTTCGCCTTTCTTCACCGCCTGCAAAAGAGAGATCTGTACTGCACGAGGCCTCTCGAACATACGCCCTCCCTGCGCTGAAGACTTGGAAAGGCGCCCATGAAAACTCGATGCAGCGAGTGATGCGGCTTGTCGGACTGCGTACCAGAATGCATGAATCGAAAGCAAGACCTCTCCTCTGCAGGACCCACTGCAAGCGAAGTTCTATGCCAACGTCTGCCTTAAGCTACCCAGGCTTCATGAACACTCCAGTTGAAAATCTCTGCATAAGAACTGCTCAGCATGGGTCTGTCAAATTGCGTGAAGGCAAGGGCCAAGGAAAGCTGAGATTGTTTCCAAAACTTGTTCTCAGAAACCTTCCTCCCCACACAGATTGTAACGACGCGTCGACCCAGACATGTTCAAAAATGGCTTCTGAGAGGCTGAGCACCCGCTCAGATGAATATCCAGAATCATCATCCTGAAGAGAAAATTCCGATACAAATCCATGACCCCCCTGGCACAATTGGCCTCAGGAGCACTCCGCGTCCTAAAAAAGGGGGAACCCACCCACCCACCCTAGAGCCAGACACAACATGCAATCCTTGCAAAGCGTCTGAGCTGAGACAAACAATTCACAAACTAAATGCTCGTTTCCTCACGCAGGTGCGGAATCGTTTGTTGGGAAAATAAGGTATTCATCTCTGCGAGAGTCGCTACTAGATATGCGCCGCAATTTGGCTCCAGGTTGCATTTCAAGCGAGCCAACCTTTGCAGGGCTAAGAAAAAAACAAAAAAAAAGAAAACAAGGGGTCCCAAAAAAGGGGACCCCGAAAAAAAGGGAAAAGGGGTTTTCCTTTTGGCAAAGCTTGACATCGCTTGCAATGCAACCTGGAGCCAAATTGCGGCGCATATCTAGGGGTCATTATTTTGCAGCCACACGCCTGCACGCAGCGTTTTAGACTTCGAATCCTTCGCAGGACGAGGTCAAATGCTGGACGGACGAGTGCCAGGAGCCTCTCAGGTAGAATAGAATCCATTTGGGAAACCCCCTCTAAAGAGAGAGCTTGCCAATATTGATCCATGGTTGAGTCTCGTTGCCGCAATTTTGTTGCAAAATTGCTCCATGGTTGCCGCAATATTGCAACAAAATTGCGCGCCACTTGCCTGGCATAGAAGCCGCCGGCCGCGCCACCTGCCCGGCATGGAAGCCTCACGCTGGGGGAGCTCGGAGTTTTTTGGGCCCTTATAGGAACCTATAGGAATCTTACAGGAAACCCATAGGAAACCCATAGGAAGTCCATAGGAAAAGAAGAAGAGGGCTTCCTATAAGTTTCCTATGGGTTTCCTATGGGTTTCCTATGGGTTTCCTATAAGATTCCTATAGGTTCCTATAGGTTCCTATAAGGGCCCAAAAAACCCCGAGCTCCGACCTTCCTGCCGCGCCACCTGCATAGAAGCCTCCCGGCCGCGCCACCTGCCCGGCATAGAAGCCTCCAGCCTGCCGAGCCTGCGCCGCACCGAGGTCGGAATTCCGACTTCGCTCTACACCGAGGTCGGAATTCCGACTTCGGTATTTTGCCCGAAAAACCCATCACCGGGCCAGCGCCGAAGGTGTGTCAGCGATGCCGTCCTCGCAGCATCGCTGACAGTGTGTTTTTTTTCACCATTCACACGCCCAGCCGTCAATTCTGGCGTGGCAACAGGATTGCTTCACTCAATCCTGGCGTGGGCACAGGATTGCTTCACTCAATCCTGGCGTGGGCACAGGATTGCTTCACTCAATCCTGGCGTGGGCACAGGATTGCCCCGGTGTCTCCCAGAAAACATTGCGCCGCCCGACTTCCCGGCTTCAAATTTGGCAAGTAACGCAAAGGAAATGGGGAAGATCAAGCTGTTTCCTACGACAGAGTATAGCAGTAAGCAGCC